CAAGTTACTTCTCAGTCGACCAGTTGCCTGTTTCCCATGCATTTATGCACAATAAAGTTGAATAGATGAAACTAAAAGTGACTTCCCCTTTACAAATCCAGTTACCCAGAAGGGAATATTCCATATTAAAAATTAAGCATAACAATGTTCAAAATTCATTGTCTTCCCCAAGAGGTACAAACATTTTTAAAATACAACTTATTTTCCGTAGCCTTTTAAGAGGTTAGCCAATGAATTAAATGCGCAAAGTGTGATCCCTGGCTGAAGAAATGCTTCAAAGCACCCCTCAGCACATCCATAAGATCCCAATTGAGCTAGCAATAATTTTGGCTTTGTGCTTCTCCTATCCGGCATTTTTGAAAGGACTTGTATGAATAACAGCTCCTAAAATGTCAAAATCTGGCCAAAAGAAGATATCTGATGAAAACAACAAAAGATGTTTCATGGTCTGGTGACAAGGTGGAATCACTGTTGAACATAACAATTGACTGCAGATTCAAAATTGATGGAAAATGTCACTTGGAATCTTGTCAAAATAAGTATCAAGAAATCTAAGCACAGTACCAAGAGCAGAACCCATTTCTGTTCGAGGAAGACTTTTGCCAAGAAATCATGATTACCATTACATCAGTGTGTTATCAAGAAGTTTTCCATCCACAATAAATTATGAAAATCTGGCATTTTTAAATGTATCCACTTTGAAGAGCGTTCAGATTAGTCGGGACGTATTATAGGTGTAACTGTAATGATAAAGATATGTGACAACCCCGTGTGAGAAGTAACTAAACCTGGGCATGAAACAGAATTGTGATCCCTTTCTATGATCATTGCTCTGACTGTAATAATGATCAATATTTTTTCCTTGTTTTATAGGTGGTGCTGTTTATGCGAAAACTGAGAGATATTCTGGATCGTTCTCCTGAATGCAAAGGGAAGTATGAGTTAGTACCTCTTTCGGGAACTGAGACAAACAAAATAGCAGATGTTTTGGTTGGGATGTACAATGAGGCTAACATAGAAGTAGATGAACATGCTGATGCCAACTGAAAGAAGTAACAGAACAGATAACTGTTCCAAAACTCCCAGACAGACGTAATTTGCACTAGCTAGATTTGACGCTTGATAACTGTTAAAACTCACTTTTGGATGACATCTATGTGCAACACTGTAGTTAAATGCATGCTCTATGTGTTTTCTGTTCCTTAAGATTGTTGTATACCCTGAGAGGTGCCACAGGTGACCCAGGCATAACATAAGAGTTTGTATGGAGATTAAGAACTGATATTCAAATCAGTCAACATATAAAGATTTTTAAACTTTGTTTGGTATCATTTCTTCTCATCCTGAGATGTTTTAACAAAATGTGTTGCAACACCATCAGGTAAATAACCTAAATTTGATCAAATGTCACTTACATTAAACTTCTATCTTTGAACAGTTGTTGTTGCATAAAATTAAAGGAATGAGCCAAAGCATGTTGGCCAAGCGAAGGCATTGGGTATGTCACCCACAGAAAAAAATGTTGGAAAAATTATGAACTAGGTCTACCCACAGCACCTGATTAATTAACCTGACCTGTTGGCAACAGTAGGTTTTATGCTTTAGAAATCATCAGAGATTGAAAGCAGTTCATAAAGATATTTTAATAAGCTCAACATTATTTTCACAGAACATTTTTGAAGATAGAGATATGCTGCCATTTAGTTGTTACTGTCTTGCAAAAAATAATGCATTATCATCATTATTACCCTTTTAAAGCAATTGGTTTGGCCATGACAGAGGGTGCAAATTTCATTCTATAAGTTGATCAAAGAAATTAGGGTATCACATAATATATTTCAGTGAAACATTATGAATGCTAATGAAATTTAATCATTCATGGTTGATAACGTTTGAAATTACAAAACGTAATCCAGCTGTTTGTCGCATTAACAGTGTAAGGTAAGGTAAGGTGAGGTAAGGTAAGGTAACTTTATTTCAAGTCGTAAATGTAGGGAGTGGTTACCCAACTCCCAAGCTAGGGGCTTGTGACAAAAACTCATGACTATTTACAATAACATTGCTAGTTACAATTACTATATTCGCCATGATAAATTCAGAAGTAAATAGATTCCAATAAATTATTTTATTTATACTAATTGTAATTGGTCAACTGATGGAGCGGTTTTCACTCAAGTGTCAAAAAGTAATTGGTTTCTGATTACCACACAACATATTACCACTATCCCATCCAATCAGAAGTAACACCAAAACCAATTGTGTCTTATTCACACGTTTTTCCTACATTTAATGCCAGCTACATCTCTTTTGAGTTTTGATTGGTTCATTGGATTGTCCATATCCTTTGTGATTGGTTTTGGTTTTACGATGCTTAATTGAAAACTGCCATATCAAGTATAAATCAGTACTAAGTAGATTACATTAGATCCCAAAGCAAACTCACATACTTTGCAAGTTAAATTTTCTCCTGCTGTTTCATTTCGCATAATTTGAGAAATAAGTTAGTTTACCTGATTAGCATGCTCTTCAGGTGTTAACAGATATTTTGTTGATGTATTGTGAAACAAAAAAACAAATTCAATTTGTTTATTTCCTGTTTCCATGCTTCCTCCAATATTGGACAACTCGGTACTCAAAATGTATGAAAAAGATAAGGTTTATCTATAAATTTAAATGATTTAGTTACAAGTGCTACTTATATAACATTGACATTGTAAACTGGTATTTTTATGTTTTTGGAATAAATGTTGCACTGGAACACACTGAGATGGCTTAGTCCTGCCTTTCTAAAATGAAACAGGAAGTGACATTTCAATTATATTACCAATACCACAAACTATAGTTTGCCCTGGCTTCACTGCTGAGACTCCTTCTGGAGTACCAGTCAAAATTAAATCCCCTTCTTCAAGTGTTGTGCTCTGACTAATGTAACTTAAAAGATAAGGAATCTTAAAGATCAGATCCTGAGTGTTTCCATCTTGTTTCAATTCACCATCAACCTTCAGCCAAAGACGAACATTATGAGGTTCTGGAATCTCACCCTTGGGGATAAATTTGCTGATAGGTAGTGCGGTATCAAAACCTTTAGCAAAAGTCCAAGGGTGGCCAAGCTTCTTGGCTTTACCTTGAATATCTCTAGCAGTCATGTCAAGAGCCAGGGCATATCCCCCAACATGATCCACTGCATTTGTTTCAGAAATAGCCACACCTGTTTTACCGATTACAACACCAAGTTCAACTTCATGATGAAGTTCAGTCACAGTCTGGAGGAAGCTACATGGACAAAAGGGAACAACAATGAGAAATACGCCCTTATACCACTTTGTGCTTGACATTTGTACTGATTGTTTGCTGCTAAGCTTTCAAAAAATATATAACAAATAGATAATACATGTGAGCTACAATATACTGTAATGGCCGAATTGTTTACTTTTAAATAGCTTGAGAAAGAAATTAAAGGAGCCTAAACATTCATTCAAAGAGGGTCTTCATTTTAGGTAGGGCCTTATTTTTCTTAAGTAGCAGTTGTTGTCAGTGTTATTTCTCTTGCAAAGTGTCTATTCCTTAGATATAGTTTTCTGAAGTACTGGTAATAGTTTATTCTGTCTCTTTCACATTAAGCAGTTTTTGTACAATTTATTTACAGTTTTGTTGTGCAACCATTGGGACATATTTTAACATTTGATTTCATTGATTTTCACTAAATTCAGTCCTCCATCTCAAAGCTGCTTGACCTTGTGTTGTATTTTGTGATTTAGAAATGTAAAGGGTAAGGTCTAGGGAATCATCAATAGAGCTAGTTGACTTGATTGTCAGTAAAGTAAAACCTGCATTCAAGCATAGAGTGGACCATCAGGATGGTGGTTATCTCCTGTTTCCATGGCATGAAGTGACCAGGAGAAGTCCATCACAGGCTTACCCACCCACCCCTCCCCCTGCATTAAATTTGCTGGTATCTGTTTACAGGGTCTTGCATAGGATATTTGAAGTCAAGATGCGAGATTGTAAGAGGGCAGGGGAAGCAGGCAGTTGGTTATTTTCATGGCCGGATGAGAGTATTACGGATTTGTTGTGCAGAAGACAGGATGTGAAATCACAGCTGAAATCTTAGAAGGAGAAACTACTCTTACTTCTGAGAAAAACAAGAAATTTCAACAAGCCTTCAAAATAGCGATTAATTTTCTGAAAGAAAAACCTCACTAGAACAGAAAAACAAAAGCATACAAAAGAAAAAAACCACCCTTTGTAATGCAATACACTACAACCTAGTGTTGCCTAACCTAAAGGACACACCCATGGGGACATGGGCACCTTACATGGGCACCTTACATAGAATCAACAAAACTAAGAGAACTCTTACCCTATTAATGACCAAAATCCTCTATTTATGACCAGACCAAACATTTGACACCCTATTTATGACCTGACCCTTAAATTAATACATTGTTTCAGACCTACCTTATAATAATTATCAAGTCTCTAGTTCAGATCAATGTTACCCTATTTATGACCAAACCGGGTGAAAAACCATACCCTTTGGGGCCACACATACCCCAGGGGGGAGGGTACTCCCAGAAAAGTTGGGTGGGGGTGTGTGGCCCACTTTCCAAGACCCTTACCCTATTTATGACCAGAATCTGTGATTTTTGCTACCCTATTTATGACATGGCCAAAAATTTGATACCTATTTATGACCATTGGGGCTGGCACAGTTGCCCTAAACATAAGTTATGAAAGGCTTTTGTTGGAGGTCTTGGTGATAATGATGAAAAAGTAGCTTCTTAAGAGAAACATACCCTGGGTGGAGAGAGGCACTGTGAGAGTAAAGTGTCTTGCCCAAGAACACAACACGATGTCCCCAGCTAGGGCTCGAACCCGGACTGCTAGATCTAGAGACGAGCGCCTCCCACACACATCTCTAAAGTTTTCTTGTAAAGTTATAATCATTAAAATGTACTGAATTGAATCCATTTTGTGAGTTTTTTTAAACTGTAAACAACTGTTGCTACGGGTGTTGCTATGTTGAAAGATAGCTACCAGTGGGCAGATTTCTTAATTGAAACGTAAATCAAGGAGTAATAAGAGCAAAATGGGCCCTTTGCACGATCCGGTCACATGGTACGGAATTAATTATGCTGGGACGCAAGTTACACAGTGGGACTACCAAAACAAAGGAAAGTCAGGCTGGACTGGTACGAGTTCCTTTGTTTTGGAAGTCCCACTGCACTGTGCAACTTGCGTCGCAACATAATTACTTCTGTACCATTTCACCCCTGTCACGCGGCGGCCATATTGGATATGACGTATTACTTTAAGCATGAAATCGACATGATGCGTGTTTAATCTGTGACTTGGCAGCTAATCATGCTAAATAAAGATCATTGTAGTGTGCCCTTGTGCTCAAATAACAGATCAAAAGGTCAGTTAGGAATTACCTTTCATCGCTTTCCAGTTGGCAAATATACAAAGAAAAGCTGGATTGTAAGAATTCGTCGAGATGTTGGCAAAAACTTCCAGGTTAGTGATTGTGTTTTACGACATCAAGATAAGCAAGCTTTATCTGTAATCAATTTGTTCAGGTTTACAAAGTAATTAATTACATTTAATTTGGTCAACTAGAATTATGTGTTGAGCCGAGCTGCTATTTTACTACGTTGCTTNGTAATCAATTTGTTCAGGTTTACAAAGTAATTAATTACATTTAATTTGGTCAACTAGAATTATGTGTTGAGCCGAGCTGCTATTTTACTACGTTGCTTATGTACTCTTTATTGCCCGTAATAATAAAACGTTACAATTGTCCTTTAGATTTCGAGAAGCAGGAAGGTTTGCTCGGAACATTTTAAATCATCAGACTTTCGAACGACCTTCTCTGGGAAACGCGTATTGAGGAAAGGTGCAGTTCCTTCTGTATTTCGCTGGATTGTACCTTCTCCAAAAAACAGGAAAGCAAGAATCCATTTTCACCTTTCCTCAATACGTGGTTTGATAAAAATTAATATAGTTCTACTAATAATAAAATAAAGTTATTAAAAAGAAAAGATCGTATGATGGCAATTTGTTTCATTATTTTTGAAGGAAATCATCTTCAACAACAAGTTCCACTCAACGAACAGAGGTGATTTAGCCGGTATCTCCTTCCCGTCAATAGTTGCCACTGGGGTTCAAACCCTTCATTCTAAAACCCCAGATCATATCACTGACGTCAGTACGGTATCACGAATTCCTTCCAAGTCTATTTGTGAGCATATGCTGGACACACTTAACAGTACAAAGTATGCCGCTATCACCTGTTCTGCAGGTACCTACACAAGGCCGTCATTGGAAACATTGCTGAAAATCCATTCGCTAAGGGATATTTCTCGTCGGGTAAATCAAGAGGTGCAGTGGCTAACAGTGACACCTCGTCCACCGAACGAGCAGTGTGCACCTCCAGGATTTTTGGATGGCTTTAAGAAGCTTTTATTCGCCTACAATGACAGTAAAGTCGTCCTTGGCAAAGCAACACTTTCTTCAGATCTGGCGAACCTTACCGGAAACAACTGGGTGAATATTGCCACAATCCAAGCCTTTACAGCTACAACGCCGAAACTGCAGCTTTCATCCTTAATGATCTAATACCATCGAACAAAAGGGAGTTACAACATTGGACATGTACCATTCGGCGGGGTAAGCAGATCAGAAGCATTGTGTTCATCATTAATGTTGCGGGTAACATTAGAGAGACACGCGTAGCCACACCCGAGAACCCTGGGTGCCACTGGACTCTGCTATATGTAGATACAGTTCAAAACAAGTGTGTTGAATATCCAATACTATTGCAAGTTGGAGTAGGCTCAGAAGGTTCCTGTTTCCGCGGTTCGACTTAAGAATTGGCTCAGACTCGATGGATTGCAAACAACTTTAATCACGAGAAAACATCAACATTGCCGCCATCTTGTGAAGGCGTGCTCGTGAAACTTACAGTTCCAGAATGCATTGCGATCTTAAAGCGTGACACGATGTCACGACATCCGTGACACTCCCCCTTGTTGACCAGAAATAAAAACCTAGCTAGACTAATCTGGTCAACACATTCTCTTACATCATTTTNTAATCACGAGAAAACATCAACATTGCCGCCATCTTGTGAAGGCGTGCTCGTGAAACTTACAGTTCCATAAAACATTGCGATCTTAAAGCGTGACACGATGTCACGACATCCGTGACACTCGCTCTTTTCTAGGAGTGTTGTCTTTTTCCGTGATTCATTCTAATTCGAAATGATCACTGAACAATCAATCAAGATCTGTGGACCGCTGAGGAAACAGTGTGAACTTGACATCTCGAAATTTGGCTACAAACACTTATTTGAGCAATTTATACTGATAAGAACTTTGCTTAAGTAAGTGTACAGAATATTTGGAATAAGAAAGGATCTTACTAAAATTTTACGCGTGATTTAATCGTTCTCTCCGGCAAACATCAAGCATAATTTTCACTGATCCCAAATCAACTGTTCTAGCATAAAGCAAGCTAAGATCAATAGAAATGCTACTGAAACAATTATGTGATTGGGGACAATAATTTTAGTGTTCTTTATTCTCGTTTATCTATTGTGAGTACAGTACGCTTCTTTGTGTTTCACCTAGCTAGAAATGCTATAACCAACATTTGTCAGCATTTGTGCACCGCACCTAATGCGACTCTTCGCGATCGCTCTATTATGTTTACTTTTTGTAGAATGTCGGTTTTGTAATTTCCTTCTCCCAAAAAAGTCAAAAAAAATCTGCAATTAAAACACAGGAAACAGGTTTAGCTTGCAGTAAGATCAGGTTTGCGTGACAGGAACCCATTTTGATGTTCATACAAAGAAGCCTTTTTGAAACGCACGGCGAGTGATGGGTGTTTACATGACAGTGTTTATCTATTTGTTAATTTTTTTCCACTGTTTGTTTGTTTTGGAAAACAATCAAATAGAACTTCACACTTATATAGCGCTTCCATCCAGACGCCTTGGAACTGAAAAATAACACAACAACAGCGATTAGATTAACCTGGGTTTCCAGAGCCAGCAGGCAGGTTCTCGCCGTATTTCTCTCCAATTCCTCCTTTAGCTCCTCAACGAGCCACTCTATTCTTGCTCATGAGAGCCGAAATTGTTCAATGACTTCCCAGTCAGCCATATCGGCTAGAAAGGGGCGTCTTTGAAACAAAAAAGTCTGCCCCGCCTGCCATTTTGTTTGGTTTTGCAACATTTGTGACTCCCCGGTAACTTTATGGGAGGTGACAACCTCCCGTAAATTACCGGGCAGGTTACCAGAAAAATTAACGGGATCGAAAATAATGGGGGCTTCGAGAAACACCCGAAAAGTTTACGGGGACTTACTGGGTGACTTACCGGGCCCAATAATTTACCGGGTCTTTCAAGAAACGGCCCCAGGTGTCAACCGTGCGTCCACCATTTATGAATAACACGTATTTTATTAAGAATTTTACTTTCTATAGTAAAATACCAACAAGATATTAACATTTAAGCAATAGAGCACATTTTCCCTGTTTACATAACCTTGTCTAAATACGAGGAAGGTTGGGAGAATTCGAGATAGTTATGCAAACCTGAGACTGTCTCAGGTTTGCATGACTCTTTAGAATTCTCCCAGCCCCCGAGTGTTAAGATGAGGCTATGTAAACATGGAAAAAGTGCTCTATTGCTTTTTAAAATAATTATCAAAAATATGTGCGAATCTGAAATGTCACGACCGTGTTTACACACCTTCATCTAAACACATCTATCAACCAATGAGAGTGCGTGCAGTAGCTCAGTTATTTTATAAAGATAACTATAACTATAACTAAAATTCTGCAATGCTGAAACTTTTCTTTCCATACACAACTACTTTATGATTACGTTATTTGTTTAAGATTCTTTCTTTCTAATTTTATTTAGCTGAACAAGCATTCTACCTTGTCTCCTCTCTAGATGACTCGTCTCCACCTCCACCTTCTTCTCTTTTTCATCATTCTCACTCTTTTTAATTCCATCTAAGTCATGTTTGTGTGTAAACGTGCTTCGACATTTGCAATGGTAAAATACTCCATTCGTAATTTGGTCATTGGCAACCTGTACACTAAGAATGCCTTCATGATCTCAGATTTCACCAGCTTTTTGCAACATTTTCCATGAGTCGAGAGAAGTTGGACTGATTAATTTTGTGTCATCATTAGACAAGTGCAATGTATTATGTAGTAAGGCTCAGTTCTTTGGCTTTCACGAGGTATGCTTAAATCCATGTTTGTTCACATCTTTGAGGACTATTTACCACAAAACAAGATGGCTTCCTTGTACATTTGTGCCCAGTCTTTTAGCAAGAGTAATGCCACAGGGTGACCATACCGGTGAAACATTGCTTGATGATAAAGCATGCATCTGAAATAACACTAAATATATTACCTTTTACTGCTTTTTATATGTTATAAAATGTAGTTTCGAAAAAAACAAAAACAGATAGGAAAAATAGACAAAAATTGAGGGTTTTTGGACCGCGATCGGCAGTGACGTCACCATCTAGTGACTATTTATCCTTAAAGGTGACAAAATACTTCACAGACGTGATGCCTTATCTATGCCTGCTTTATTTTGTGCAGAATCTACAGAATTACTTGCTAAAAGCGGCATTCTAGTATATTATTGATTTATGCTAAGTATGCAAAATTCAAGGTCACGTGACCCCTTTAAGCTACTCTTACAGCATTGCCATCATATATTATTCAAATCTACACATGATAAGCCTTAATTTGATATATGGTGACCTTCGTCCCCCTGAGTGTAACGATCCGCCATTTTTAGCCACTTGGCCCATGGACAATAACGCATGGACTAAACCAAAAAACATTTTCAGGTATAGATGATGCTACCCTCTCCACTGACAAAACCCAAAAAGTGGAAACAGTAGTAAACTTTCTTTTGAACAGCACAGTTACATCTCTCAGACAATCAACTGTATTGTCTCAAGGTATTATCCAATAACAATGTTACAGAAAGAGCAAAATAGCACTGTAACGCTTGCGGCGACTTAAAAACGAGTCAAAATTCAAGGCGTGTTGCTTGAAAGCATGTCTGCTGAGTATCAGGACTATCTTACAGGTCATCTGCGAGGTAGCAAGAATCACAGAAAACCAAGTTGACAGTTAATGGCGGTTTATTGCTTCAAATAGTAACGATTGTAAACTGAAATAACAATATGACGAATTTCTAATCAATTTACTTGAAATTCTGCGTAGCATAAGATCAAGGGGTGTGTAATAATCCATTTGTCTAATCCATAACGCGACCAAATAACAACAAGCAATGTAAATTAACATAAGCAAATCTTATAAACTATGTTAAAACTACTCGAGATTGTATAAACAATCAAAAGATGAACATTTGTAGCTGATCAACAGCTCAGAATAGCCTAGTCTTAAATGTGGGTGTTCCCTAAATAAGGTTCTAATTTATGCGATGTTCTCTTTTTGAATCCAAGACAATCAAAATTGTGTTATGTACGATTCTGTATATAAATCTGCCTTCCCCCAAAATAGAACAAACTAAATCTAAACAAACTAAATAAAACTACGAAAATCACTTACATATCGGTCCTGCTTGTGCCAAGGTTAGGAAATGAAACTCTGTTAAAAGGACGCTAACTAAGCTTTCATATGTGCGTGGTGATGCTAATAGGTCCGATTACAAAACCAATAGGAAACTAGATAAGCATATCTAAACATTCTAACTAAGTTCATTACTAAGACCTAGGCACACAATCAAGCTAATCAATAATTGATCTAATAAAAATTGAGACTTTGTCAAGTATCCTCAACAAGCAGATAGAAGAAACATTCACTTGATGTTTTGCAAACACTATTTGGATTTGCTGAATTTATGCACAAAGAGCAGAAGAGAAAAACTTTTTTAAGCTTTGAATTAAGATTAGATCTTATCTTAAAATGCACACAGGACTATACTTGGATTTTATTCAGTTTCAAAGAAAATGCAAGACATCATCTGTGTCAAAAGTTATGGCATATGACATGTTTATATACTGTCATATTAAATGAGCAAACTCATTGTGACTCTGTCTTACACCTGTTTTAGGTAATGAGATGTTTTCTCAGGCTAATAGCAACACTTTAATACATGACTGCAAAGAAGCGATGCCGACTGCATGCAACAAGGAGACTGGTGAAAAGTGAATAATTAGGTAGTCTTTGCCATCAATGGTGTACAAATCTGCACCGATCTTCTCCCACGGGCACCCTGCGATTTCGTGGCTCATCAAGGATTCCCTCGGTTGTTTTGCCTCATATTTGCTGCATGTCTCGCATTGTGATATGTACTCCTTCAGTTCTGCAGTCATGCCGGGCCAGTATATGAACTCCCTGGCTCTTTTCAGGCAGCCATTCACGCCTATGTGTGAACTGTGAATGCGTTCTTTCATCTTCATATGCATCAGCTTGGGGATAAGGAGTCCCTTGCCTTTGAAAACGAGACTGTCATAGACGCTCATCTCATCCCTGAAGTTAAAGTAAGGAGCAAGTACGGCCGGGAGCTGCTGCTTCTCCTCTGGCCAGCCAGTCTGGACTACTTCTCTTAGCTGTTGCTGAACTTCATCATCACAGGAGCTGTTCCTCAGCTCCTTGAGTCTCTCATCAGTCATTGGCAGCAGTTTGACAGCACTCACACGCTCAAACTCTCCCTGATCACTCTGAGTTGTGGGATGAAATGCTCTGCTTAGGGTGTCAGCCAGGTACATCTCAAGCCCTGGTTTGAAGACGATGGACACGCCATACTTCTGCACTTTCAACAGCATCCCTTGGAGTCTCTTGGGTGCACTTCGGAGTGGTTTCTTAGAGATGGCTACTAGTGGTTTATGGTCACTCTGGACAGTTACGGGGCGACCATATACGTACTGATTGAATTTCTGAAGCGCAAACACTACAGCTAGCATCTCCTTTTCTATCTGTGCATATTGAGTCTCTGGGTCGCTCAGGGCGCAGCTTGCAAACGCTATGGGTTGCCCATTCTGCACGAGGGCAGCCCCAAGTCCTTTTTCACTCACATCACATTGGAC